CTCTGGGCAGAGTTCCTGACAGTGCGCACTCGAATGCTGTCAGAATGAGCCCAGTCTTGTAAATAGGCAAAGAGCAGCCAGCGCTCAGGGATCTTTGATTCCTGGCTTGAGGTCACCTTTCAGTGGCCGAGGCGGCTGAGTCTGATGTCTAGGGTCAGCGTGCAGGAGAGTTTGCTTTGAGGTCAGGCTGGGCCACTACAGACATGAAACTGAGTGGTGTGGCCCTCCCACATCACTCTCCCACTCCCTGTCCCTCCCTCCTGGTGTTGCTGACCCCAGAGGGTCCTGGCTCCAGATGCTGCAGACAGGGCCCACCGCACCTGGGCGTGACTGTACCCAGAGGTCAGGAGTGAGCCAGACCTGACATTGTAAACTGATGAAATTTCCACGGCAGCCAGGCCCTGCAGTGTAGTGTGCAGTGAGTTAGACCAGGGGTCTCAGCATAGTTTCAAGCTCTGTCTTCATTACGGGCCATCCTGTTGACCAGTCTGGGCGTCCATCTACTCGTCTGCATGACACCATAAAGACATTACTGGCTACTTCTCCTGCTACTGCTCAAGGGTAGCGGCAAGGCCATTCATTCATTTGCTCAACCAGACATTCGTTGAGCACCTATGTGTGCCGCACTGGTGCTGACGTGCAGGAGAAAGCACTGCTCAGAGGCAGGGACGTGGTACAGGGCAGCGTCTGCAGGGAAGAAAACAGGAAGCAAGCTGCAGCCTGTAGTGTAGATTCTGCGCTCCACTTCCCTGGCTTTTGGGGAGGGAGGGTGCCACAAAAACAGCTAGATGTGCTTGTGGCCACCTCCAGGGCATGAGAGTAGCAGTGTCCTGGCCTTCCTGGCCCTCAGCTTTGTGAGGGGACGTGGGTGGCGGGGGTGCTGCCAGTCACCGTAGGGATCAGATCTGGCTGTCTTTCTAACTTCTCTTAAAAACACTTAGTTCTGCTGTCCTAGTCTGAGCCTGGCTTCCTGGGGTCCTTGCAAGTCAAGTGCATGAAACTTCAGAGTCTGTCCCTCTCGTCCCCTCCCCGCAGGCCTCCTCTCCACGCGCACACCTGTTCCCCAGGCGTCGGCTGCTGCCACGTGCTCTCTTGCACTCCTGTGGGGCTGAAGCCCTTGCCTTCCTATTTTGCCCCTTATCCTGACCTATTCCTGACTTTCCAGTATTTAGCCTCCCCTCACCCCTGGGATACGATCTCCACCAATTTCATGTAGTCTTTTCCTTCTTGCCCTGAATCTCTCTTGAGCTGCAGGCCTGAGAGAATGTCTGGCCTCTCGGGCCGGGGCTCTGGGAGCCTGTACTCCACACCACCCTCTGCACATGTGCTCCTGAGGGGTTTCCCTGCACCCTCGAGTGGGACTCTGACACTGACTGGCCTGACCTGTTCCCTACCCCGTCACTGCCATATTGCCCTCCTTCCCCTGTGTGTGACGCTTGTCTGCCTTTCTGGCTCAGCTCTGCCCAGTTCTTCCAATTGCTAACGTGATCTGGTGCTCACCCCTCACCTTCTCTACGCCCTTCTAGCAGGGCGCCAAGGGCTCATGTCTTCAGGGGCACGAGCCTCAGGCCCCCTTCCCCCTTAGCCCCTGCCCCGTGGGATGCGGGGATGCATCCCTACTCTGTGCGCTAAATTCCGAGCCCCACGTGAGGGGTGACAGATTGAACAAACACGCTCTGCTTCAGGTGCTAATTTGGCAGTAGACTGAGCTGTCCACCTCCTGGAAAATGGGGCTGGGGAAGATTTCTGGATAGGACAGGCTGCAGCTGCCAGTGCGATCAGGCTCGGGCAGGGTAGGCAGGCAGGGTAGGAGTCTGGTCTGTTGTGGACAGGTCTAAGGCAATTTCCAGCAGCAGCCCCAGCTATGTTGGCTCCAGAGGGGTGAGGTTTGGAAGGGGAGATCAGATCAGCAAAGCCTGTGTTGACGTTTCTGGTCTGAAGACCAGGCAGCTGTACCCTTCCACTTTGAAGTCCCTGGGGTGGTGAAACTTGTGGTCCTTATCGGCATAGGTCTCAGGTACTCTGGGTGCTAACTCACAATGTTTGTGGCCTGAAGGCAGGGGCTGTCTCTGAAATCTGGGCTCCCAGAGTGAACTCTGCCTCCTCTATAAAGGCCAGCGGGAACGGGCACTGGCTGGCACAGTGGCGGCCGTGGGGCGGGATGAGGTGCCTGGTGGCGCTCTTTGCAGTCCTTGCTCTCTCCCAGGGCAGTCAGATCGCCAGGTGAGTGTCGGTCCCTGGGGGAGGGGAAGGGCCGTTCATGCATCCTCTCTGGGAGGCTCTGTCCCTGGCCTCCCAGCCATCGTTCCCCTGGGCAGTCTTGGGAGGCAATGCTGCGTGTTCCCAGGAGAATGCCCCCCAAGCTGAGACCTTTTCCTTTTAGGGTGCCCCTGCACTTCAGGGTGTGGTGCAAATACAGGTCACAAGGGCAGCCGGGGGACATTAGGGCAGGGCTTCTGGAGTCAGAGTGCCTGGGATTCAATCCTCAGCTCCATCACTAACTCTTTGTGCTTCAGTTTCCTCAACCGTTGTAAAATCAGGATAATAGTAGTGCTCATTTCATAGGGATGTTATGAGGATTGCATGAATTGATATTTGTAAATTGCTTCAAACAGTGTCTGGCACACTATAAGAACTATATATATCTTTGTTAAACAAAATAAAGTTCTCTGTTGTACCAAGTCCTTTGTGGGTGAAGATCCCAGGTTCTCCTTTAAAACTCAAAACTGATATATTGAGCTGTTTGCTGCTAGGTACCAGGCACTTATCTAAGTCTTTACTGATACTATCACTAATCCTCATGGGTTAGGTGGATATTATTATTTGTGTTTTACTGATGAGAAAACTGTTGTTTAAGTGTCCCTAGGAAGGGTCTCTGAGCTGCCCAAGCCACATGGCTAGTAACAGAGGAGCTAGGACTTGGCCCCAGGGAGACTTGCACTCTGGCCATGATGTCACACTCCCTCCAGATGCTAGATTGGAACCCTGTCAAGCCCTGAGCACAGGGAAGCCTGAAGCCCTCCCTGGGGAAGCTGGGGAACTTTGAGCAGCCAAGTTTCTCTGAAAGTAAAGTTCTTCCAAGTCCCAGGCATGCCGGCGGCCCCAGCGCAGGGAGGCAGGGCTGGAGCTGAGACTCCATGGTGTTGGAGCCCCCATGTAGGGCCACCCTCCTGGCTCAGCATGAGGTGGGCTGGCTTTCCTCTCTGAGGCCTTGTGCCAGGCAGGTCAGCTCAGCTACGGCCCGTGAGAGTTTCCAGGCACCCAGCAGTTAGATCCTGCCAATCAGGAACCAGCTGGAGCCATGCAGAAAACATTTTATGAGCCTAGACATGGGGACATAGGAAAGGGAGCTGTGGGCTTGCTCTCAGGAGCTCAGTCCAGCCTCCTTCCTTTTGTGCTGAGTCCTTTTCCACCATCAGAGACAAAGTTCTTTGTAAGTCAGGTCCCAGCTAAAGTCACATGTGAGGGCTGGGGGTGAGGGGCACTGGAGGAGAGACCGTAATTCACGTGCAGCCTGCTCCATGAGGTCGTTTGGGGTGTGAACAACAGGAGGAAACCCATTCTCTTCGTGACTCTTAAAACCATTGCCACTTGGCCGGGCGCGGTGGCTCACGCCTGTAATCCTAGCACTCTGGGAGGCCGAGGCGGGCGGATTGCTCAAGGTCAGGAGTTCAAAACCAGCCTGAGCGAGACCCCGTCTCTACCATAAAAATAGAAAGAAATTAATTGGCCAACTAATATATATATATATAAAAATCAGCCGGGCATGGTGGCTTGTGCCTGTAGTCCCAGCTACTCGGGAGGCTGAGGCAGGAGGATCGCTTGAGCCCAGGAGTTTGAGGTTGCTGTGAGCTAGGCTGACGTCACGGCACTCACTCTAGCCTAGGCAAGAAAGCGAGACTCTGTCTCAAAAAAAACAAAACAAAACAAAAAAAACAAAAAAAAAACATTGCCACTTTACTGCTGCCAAAGCACTTTCACATATGTAGTCTCCAGCCATTCTTTAGACCAGCCCACCAAGAGGGATCACGTGATTCCTAGAGGTGGAAGGCACCGTGGGAACTGCCAAGCTCCTTCAGTCTACAGGAGAGGAAGCTAAGATCCAGAGAGGTTGGGCCACCTCTTTGGTCAAAGGCAGGGTCAGGAGATTGGCTGGAAGGCAATGGGTTAACCTGTTTCATAGAGGAGGGAGTTCAGGCTCGGGGTGGGGGTGCTTTGGGGAACATGCAAGGGGAAGGGTGGGGGACTTGGGAAGCCTCTAGAGGGAAGGTTGGGGACTTGGGGAACCTCCTAAGTTGCCACAGACAGGACAGAGGCAGGTACAGAGCCAGCTTCTGTTGTTCAGCTCTTGACCTCTCCCTGTTGATCCGCCTCCATCACCTAATACCTAAACTTGACAAGGAGGCTCCTGGGAAGCTCTTTGAAGACTTTCCACCACTTTAGGGAAAAAGCTACCCAGAGAGTAGAGCAAACGGTTAGCAAAGGGTGGGGTCATTGTCAGGGCACTAGCCAGAGTGTGGGAGACTTCGTCTTGCCCTCCAGGCAGCGGGCTCCTGGGGTAGCGACTGCAGCTTTTCTCCATTGTGTCCCCTGTGTCCTGCACAGTGTCTGGCACACAGTAGGTACACAGGAAGAATCTGGTGACTGATGAGTGGCAATGCGCTTAGTGTTTTTCAAACTATGGGTTGCAAAACTCATTAACATTTTGTAAAATGCACCTGGATGGTTTCTACCAGCATTAAAAAAAAGAAAAGGAATAGAAAACATCAGAGCACATTGCATTCTGTAAGGGCAGGCACTGATCTCAGAATTGATGTACAACACATTTCTTACCTTGAGTTATGATAAAAAGAAATGTTGGAAAGCCACTGACTGAGGGTCAGTGGGATACTGACCAGAAGGCTGGGCTGGGAGGAGCAGTGTGGGGAGTGGTTTATGGAGCCCAGAGCTCTGGGCGCTTCTGGGAGGCTGGGCAGCCTAGGAGAGACACCCACGCCATCATGGAGTCCGCCCATCTCCTCAGGGTCCGTCTGCACAAGGGGAAGTCGCTGCGGAGGGCCCTGAGGGAGCATGGGCTCCTGGAGAACTTTCTGAGGGAACACCAGCATGCAGCCAGGCAGAGGAACTCCAACTTCGGGAAGGTGGCCCGCAAGCCTCTGATCAACTACCTAGATGTGAGTGACTCGCCAGCCTCCCCACTCAGCCCCGCCTCCCCCGGCTTTCCCTCTTTCAGGAATCTTGGCGTCTGTGGGTGGGGGAGGCCGTCTCCCTGCCCTCAGTGAGCTCCATGGGAGTCAGCAGACCCAGCAAAGGCCACCGCCGGGACGGAGTGAGCCCAGGCGACCTTGCTCACACAACATCCCTCCGGGGTGCATAATCTGCTCCCAGGTCCAACCTTACGCCTGCCTTCCCCAGCCCAGGGAGACCATGCCTGAGTCTAGGCTCGCAGGGATGGGGACAGCTGGTGCCCGTCTGTAGCCGTCCAGGACGTGGTGCCATATTCCTCTTCCTCCCACCCAGGGCCCAGGCAGGAATGTCCCTTGTGTCCTCTTCCTTTCTGGAGCTTGTCTTTCTCTCATCTGTCACTCTTGACGGTAAACAACCAGCCTTTTCTCTCTTCTGTGCTCTCATTTTCCTATCTAGGTCATCTTCGCCTCCCAGCCCCAGCTCTGACAGCAGGGAGAGCCGTTGGGGAGGCAGGTGTGGCAGGGACAACTTGGCTGGGGACTTGGGGCCCTGTGTGTAGCTGATGCCCTGCCTCTCTGTCCAGTTCTCCCTGCCCTGGCCGGGGCAGCCCAGTCTCCCTCCAAGGCCGGATTTACGTTTGGGGCCAAGGTCTGCTCCTGAGGCTGATTCCAGCACTGGCTGTAGGGCTGGTGGGAGGATCAGGCCAGGCTCGGCGGGGCGGGACCCTGGGGGAGGGGTGCTGGAGAGGAAGAACCCTCCCCAGGATCCTCCTTCTGTTTCCTCCCCCTCCACAGCCCAGGTCTCTGCACAGGAAGCACAGGGTCTCCAAAACTGCCCACGCTCCACGCCCAGCTCAACCTTCCCCTCCCTGCCTCTCTGTCCCGCCTGCCTTTGACGCAGTGCCGTCTGTCTGTCCTCAGTGCGAGTACTTCGGGAAGATCTCCGTCGGGACCCCGCCCCAGGAATTCACCATGGTGTTCGACACGGGCTCCTCGGACTTCTGGGTGCCCTCCGTCTATTGCACCAGCAATGCCTGCCGTGAGCCACCTCCCTCTTCCGCCCCACCTGCCACGCTCGGTCAGGGTGGCAGGGCAGCGGGCTTTGACCTTCCCAGCCTCCAGGTTGTGTCCCGTCTCCTCACTTGACCTCCCAGATGGCCACAGACTGGGGAGCTTTGCAAATCAGTGGTCTAAGCTAACAATGAGGGAATGCTAGTTTCTTGAGGGGTGTTTTAGATCTCTACTGGGAGCCAAGGCAAGCTGCTTACCCACCTGCATCCTCAGTTTTCCTTTCAATAAAATGGGGCTATGACCTGCCAGTGTGAGCCGGAAGAATAAAATGAGAGAGTCTATTGCTAACGATGGGTAAACACTAAACTTGTGTTCATCATTTATTTTTCCAGCAATCCTGGGAGGGTGGTGCTCTTTTTATCCCCATTTTACAGATGAAGAAACCAAGGTGTGGAGAGGAAAAGGGACTTGGCTGAGATGACTCAGCTGGTAAAAGTGAAATGTCCATGGAAACCACAGGGAGGGCTTTTTCCTTTCTTCTTTTTGTTTGGAAACGACACAGGCAGCAGTGGGTGCCAGTGAGCTGGGTTGAGCAGCAAAGAATAATTTTCTTTATTAGACTGTGGGACTAAGACTAGAGAGGATGGGCTGTGGTGAGAACAGCCAGTATCCAGATGATGCTCTTTCAAGGCCTGGTGAGGGTTTAAGCCCTGGCTGTCTCTGTGGGTGGCGAGAAGATGCTAAGAGACCCGCTAACCCCCGGTCTGTGTTTTAGAAAACCACCACCGCTTTGACCCGCACAAGTCCGACACCTTCCAGATGCTGAACAAGTCCGTGTCCATCCAGTACGGCCAGGGCAGCATGCAGGGCTACCTGGGCTACGACACCGTCACCGTAAGTGGGCTGCGGCCGGCCAGCGCTCACCTCGCCTTTCCCACCAGCGGCTTTCCCACGCCGACGCCCGGCTCTGGTGGGCTGCACACCCCTCTGTGCCCAGCCCACGCGGGGGGCTCCGTCGGGGAGGACTCCGAGAGGGATTTTAGCCAACAGCCAGCTGTGGGTTGTCTCTTCCTCCCTCCTCTCCTTCCCGTGTCAGTGATCAGAGGCCCAACTGAGAGCCTCCGCCAGGTCCAGGTCCCCACCTCGGGGACCTTTCTCACGTGTCCTTGCCACAGTTAGTTCAGAATTAGGAGCTTGTGCCAGAAGCAAGCTCTTCAGTGTCCTATGTGTGATCTTATTTTTAAATTTCATTCTTCTGACGGCCCTTTGAGGAAGGTATTTTTATTCCCATTGTTCAGATGGGAAAACTGAGGCTCAGAGAAGTTGAAAACTTGCCTGAAGTCACACAGTGGGCGCCTGCAGGTGCTGGGCGCCAGACCCGCACCTCCAGCTCTCTGAGTAGTGCTCTCTGCTAGACCTGACTCTCTGTAAGTCAGAGCAGCATCTGGGCCTCGCCCTTACCCCTGCCTCCCTTTGGCCTCAGAGTACCTGATACAGTGGTGGAAACTTAGTAAGTGCCCAGTGCATTTTAGTATCTTTCTTTCCTTCCTCTTACGTCATCCAGGATTAAATGCCGAGCAATATCACTCTATGTTTATCACCTTGATCTTCTTAGGGTTCTTCCTTGGGTCTGGCTGAAGTCTCTCTTGCTTTGAGTCCAGCAGGGCACAGCCCTTCTCTGCTGACAGCCTTCTCCCCAGCCCCTTCCTTGGCCGGGCAGGTGCTCGGGCCTCCCAAGAGTTAGCACCAGGCAGCGGCGGCCTCAGAGCCTCTTGCTGAGGAGGCCCAGCCATCGGGCCTCTAGAAGGCTAATTCCCCTGCCTGGGGCCCTGCTTCCTCTGCTGTCAGGAGCCACTTGCTTTCAGTTTTGCTACTTTGGGTGCATCTTCACGGGAGAGCTGACCCTGTGCTGGCAGCCTCGGCTGTGGTGCACTGGGCTGCTTTTACTCACCGCCTTGGGCAGGGGTGGCGGGGGGAGAAAGCCAGAGGTCAGCCCCCAGCAGTCTCACGTGGGAGGGGAGGGGGGTGGGGTGGCCCACGTTGGGAAGCCCTGGGCTGGTTCTGTAGCTGGCCTCATGCAGGCCCTACTCTACTCGTTTGGACCAGAGCGGGCTGGTTTCAGAGTGGGGACCAAACGGGGAGGTCATCCCAGCCCCCTGTTTCCAGCAGGAAGGTTTGGGGGGAGGAGGAAAGGGTGCCGTCCAGTAGGCCTAGCCTAGGGCCTGACTCCGGTGACCAGGTGATGTTGGGGTGGGAGCAGGGGAGGGGTTGTCACCAGAGCCATGGGGAAGGGGGCTCTGAGCGCAGGTGTGGGAGACGCTGAGCTCTGCTCAATCCAGGGTCTCCTCCCATCCGGGAGCTCCCTGAGGAGGGGGCGCTGGGTGCTAAGCTGAGGGGGGAACGGGTCCCACCGCACTGGGCTGTGGTCAGGAGCAGGGCTCTGGGGCGGATGCAGCAGGCTTTTCTCTATAGAGAAGGGTGACTTTGGGCAGGCCTCCATTTCCTCATCTGTGGAATGGGCATAATAATATTTACCTCAGAGGATTGTGGTAAGGAATAAACAAACTAATCATGTATTATTTGTTTGTCATTTCATTCTCCACACCTCATCTGTCCACAAATCCTGTTGACCCTCCCTCCCTGGCCATTGAGGGTCTGCCCACTTTGCACCCCTCGCCTCTTGGTTCCGCCCCCATTGCCTCCCAGCTGGGTGACTGGAACAGCCTCCCAGTGGACTGCCTGCTCCTGCCATGTCCCATCACCGCCTGACACAGCATCCAGAGGGACACTTTAAAAAGTCCTGTCATGGCCTCCTCTGCTGGAAATCTTTCTGCGGCTCCTCACTTGGACTGAATATAAGAGGCCTCTCCCCCGCCAGCAAGGCCCCACGTGATCCCTGCCCTCCTCTGCCCCACCCCACCTCGTCTGCTGTCTGCTGTGCCCCTGACCCCACCCCACGCAGCCTGCTAGGACCGGCCACCTGTGGCACCTGCCTGGGCCTGCTCTCCCCTCCCCAGACCTCCGATGTCGCTACCCACAAGGCCTCTCTCCCCACCCTGTTGCCCCCACCCTGCGCTGTGTTTCTTTAGAGTGCTTGTTGCCATCTGGCATGTTCTACGTTCCTTCCTCTAAAACTTACTTTCTGTCTCCCCACTGGAATATAAGTTCCCCCGGGGCAGGTGCTTTCTTTTGCTCATTGCTATGTCCCCAGGTTCCAGCACCCAGTGCACCGGAGACCTCATCTGTTTCTTGACGGAAGGAAAGCACGGATCCATTTTCACTCTGGCACTTGGCCCTCGTTCCTTTACTCGCTCCACGAATGCCTGCTGGGCCTGAGTCTGGGAACCGCGGCTGTAGGGATGAACGCAGGGACGAGGGGCTGTCCTCTCATGCTCACACTCTGGGAGGCAACAGCAGACACACACGTGAGATGACTGTGCACAGCGCTGAGCGGCATGAAGAGAACAAAACTGGAAAGTGTGAAAGAGGATGTTTGGGGGGCGGGAGATGGATTTAGTTGACACGGTGGACATGATGGCCTGTCCCAGGCTGAGGTCTGAATGGCTAGACTGCAGAAGCCAGGCCTCAGAAGACCTGGGGAGAGCATTCTGGGCAGAGGGAACAGCAAGTGCAAAGGCCCTGGGGCAGGATGGGTTGGGGCACTGGGAAGAAGAAGACCAGCGTAGGTGGAGCAGGGTGAGTTACGGGGCAAGAGGAGTGATACAAGGAGTGAGAAGCAGAACCACAGTGCAGGGGGACTCCAGGACAAAGGTTTCATTCTGAGCTCCATCGGGACCCACTAGAGGGTTGTAGCAAGGGTGGCATCGCTTGATTTCCATTTTTAAAGCTCCCTGTGTGAAGGATGGATGATAAGGGGTTAGAGTGGAAGCAGGAAGCTCAGTCGATCGTGGCGGTCTGCGCTACAGACAGCGGTGGTCGGAGTAGGCTGGTAGACACACTGGCCATCGGGGAGGTGGGCAGACTAAGAAGGTATTTTGGAGTTAGCGCTTTCTTAGCGTAGTGCCAACAAATGTTCAATAATCCAACATTTAGAAATGCCCCATGTGTGTCAGTGTTAGTGATATTTGGCCTGAGCTCCGCCTCGAGGTGCAGGTTTTATTATTCCACTTAACAGATAAGGGGATTGAGGCTTGGAGAGGTGCTTGTCCAAGGTCACACAGCTGGCACATGGAGGGACAAGGACACACACCTGGGTGTTGGGGACATAAAATGTGTATGTGTTGTTTTTGGACTCTGTGCTGCCTCCGTGGTGTTTACTGGGAGACGCTCCGGGCGCAGCTGATGGGGCCACAGTCTGCAGGGGCCCCAGAGCATCCCTGCTCCTCCCTCCTTGTCTGGGCTTGTCCCCAACTTTTGCACGATGAGCACCATGTCTGCGCCCAACACTGTGTCCTCCCTTCCCCTCCTCCCTCCCTGGCCTCATTGGACCAAGTCCTCAAAACCGCAGCACTGACTGCTGGGAAAGGAGTCATTTTTTTTCTCTGAAGTTCAAAGAACTACGTAACCTATAAGAGGGAAGGAGGGCCAGCGAGGCTGAGACTCTGCTACTGGCTCCTGAGTTGGGACTGGTGGCCCCGCCCTGGGACTTTTCTGTCTCTGGCTGCGGGGCCCCCAGCGGAGGTCTTTGTGACTGTCTTGCAGTTCTCCACCATCGTGGGCGCCTACCAGACCGTGGGCCTGAGCAGGCAGGAGCCTGGCTTCATCTTCGCCTACTCCGAGTTTGACGGGATCCTGGGGCTGGCCTACCCCTCTCTTGCCTCTGACTACTTCATGCCCGTGTTCGACAACATGATGAACAGATACCTGGTGGCCCATGACGTGTTCTCGGTGTACGTGAGCAGGTAGGAGCTGTGCCCAGCCAGGGCCTGGCTTCGATGCCCTCATAAGGACTGTTGGCTTAGGAGAGTGTCCACCCCTTGGGGACACTGCCACTCGAGGGTTGTTGCCAGCCTGCAAGCAAACCTCCTTGTTCCAGGCACATCCAACTTCTTGTCCAACGGCCCAAATATAGTCATTGATACAGCCAGAGTTCACAGGGCCAAACTTTGACTGTCATTTCTGGCATGTAAAAAACAAAGCCTGATCTCATCTCTGCCTAGAGGCTTTTAGCTTCTTTTTTTCCTAAGTGAGAAGGCCTCAATTACTATTTGTTGATATAATTGAGATCCACAGACTTTTAGCACCAACTCCAAGAGTCTAACCTTTTCCTTTCACTAGGGAGGAAACTGAGGCCTGGGAAGGGGCCATCCCCCTGGGAACTAGTCTCTGAGCCAGGCCTGGAGTCCAGGGATCCTGCTCCCAGCCCAGTGCTCCCTACTCCACCTCCCTATTGCACATGAGCTGGGGGGGGTGGGGGTGTGGGTGCGCAGTGAGGGGTGAGGGGGAAGGGACCACCTCCAGGAGGAGGGGCTGAGGCCAGGAGCCAGGCAGGGGGCTGCCTGGTGCATTCACTCACTCAGTGGCCGGTTCCCTGGGCCCTTGCTGCGTGCCAGAGGTGGGCACAGATGGCAAATAAGACAAACTGGGAGTTAGCGATTCAGCAGGGGACGGACAGCACACGATACGCAGTTGCAATCATAGAGCTGTGATGAGGGTGCTGCAGGGGCGGTTTGGGGTGTCAGAGGCTTGCAACAATGCGGAAGCCCACGCTGACGGAGGGTGGCCAGGGCAGGCTTCCCGGAGGGAGTGGTGGGGGCATCCAGGTGAGACAGAGGGACAGGGCAGCGCATTCTAGGCCATGGGGATGGTGTGTACTAGCGCCCGGGGGTGGGATGGGGCCTGATGAGTTCTAGGAACCAAGAGCAGCGGCGTGGGAAGCAGGTGCGGTGTGGTGTGCGGGTATTCCCAGCCGTGCACGAGACACTGCCCCAAAAGGTACTGAGGGGCTGTGGGCTTGGGTGGCAGTTTTAATCCAAAGTGTGGAACCCTGTTGGGGTCTTCTCCTACTGGGAGCAGAAAGCCCCAGGTGGTGGGTGTGGGGAGTGAGGGCAAAGGGAGACAGCTGGGAACACCCAAGGGTGGCCGGCGCAGAGCCTGGCTGTCCCGGGACCTGTGTGTGGGCTGCTTCCTCCCCTCACATAGAGACGGCTGAGCTCTGGGCTCCGGGTGCTGCCAGGCCCAGTGTCGAGGTGAGGGCCACAGCATTCAGGAAAAAGGATGCTGCCACTGATACCAGAGGGAAGCCCCGTTGGGGAGAGGGAGGGGCGAGGCTGGGAGAGCTCGCCCACCCCAGCGGTGGGCTGAGTCTCAATGGCATCTGTCCCAGGGCAGGGCTTCGCTGAAGCAGGGAGTCTTGTCTTGGTTTCAGGAAGGACCGTGGGAGCATGCTCACGCTGGGGGCCTTCGACCCGTTCTACTACACGGACAGCCTGCACTGGGTGCCCGTGACCAGGCAGGCGTACTGGCAGTTCACCATGGACAGGTGGGTAACCGCAGCTCTGTGTAGGCCGAGCTCGAGGACAGCTCCAGGTGTGGGAACACAGGGACGTGGGTGTCAGGCCCTGGGCTCGGAGAAGGACTGTGGCACAGTGGCTTGTAAGACTGTCCCTCAGAATCTGAACTAGATACTTCCAAGGCTGTGACCTTCATCAGTGATAATGCTCACGGTCACCTCTGCCTTATTAATAAGCCGAGTTGCACTGGCAGAGCGCTTACTACCCACTGGGCCACGTGCTAAGCGATCACCTGACCTCCTCTCTTATTCCTCAGTAAAGCCCCACGAAGTGGGAGCCATTAGCATTTCCATTTGATAATTTACCAACGCCAGGTTTGAGCCTCACAGCCCTCCCATGCAGAAGTCAAGGGAGGGGTTGTCCGCGCACCCGTTTTATAGACCAGAGCCCGAGTGCACAAAGGTTACGTAACTTGCCGGAAACATTCAGCAAGTAAATGGCAGAAGGGAAACTTGAAGTGGATCTCAGCTAAGTAGTGCAATACTCGGTCTACCCCTTAATGAGTGTGAATTTGTTGTTTTAGCGTAGTTTTTGTCCCATCAAAGGTGGGATGTCCTCAATTTAGCCAGTAAGTTGGGAGAAAATCGCTTTAGGTCTTTTCTCTGGGCTCAGAGAGTTTTGGGGGCTCCAGAAAAGGACCAAGGGAGGGGCTGTGGGGGTGGTTGGGCCTTCCTCCCTGCCTAGGGATCCTGGCAGGGGACTGTAGGGAGGGCCAGGCAGGGGACACTGGATGTGCCTCAAGCCATCCTGCTTACCCTCTGCAGTATCACCGTCGGTGATGTCATTGTGGCCTGTGCCAGCGACTGTCAGGCCATCCTGGACACGGGTACCTCCATGCTGGTTGGGCCCAGCAGGCACATCCTCACCATCCAGAGGGCCATTGGAGCCACAAAGGGCCAGCACGGCCTGGTAAGGCTGGACCCTCACCCCACCCTCCAAGATCCCCTTAAAGTGGGGTCCCTTTTCACTTGGAAGGAATGGTACAGGTGAAAGGAGAGGGGCCCATTTCCCAGCAGAGGTTGGGCTTTGGCTTCGGCCTGTCATCGCTGCTGGAGCTCCCTCGCCTCGTGCGGTGGCCGTGACCTGACCTCCTGGTCCTCTGGGAGGGCCGTGCCTTTCCTACATGTGGCCTTCGCTGTGCCCCCGTGCCCCTCCTCCGCCATGAGTCCATCCCTCTTCCTTCCTGGCAGCCGAGAGAACCCCGTGTCCTTGCTCTGGCTGGGCCTGGGAAAGGGGGAGACACGGGAATGAACCCCTTTGTCCCAAGCTGGGTCTCTCCCTGGGTTGACTGACAGCTCATCCTCCTCAGTGTGAGTCTTCTGAGGACCATATCTTGGGACCAAAACACAGGGTGCAGAGGAAGGGGTCCTGTGCCACCAGGACCACCAGGGTGCCTCTTCCAGCCAGATGACACCCTCGCCTCCTGTAAGGGACCTCCCTTGGTTCTTTAGTTTGACATCGACTGTGCAAGCCTGAGCAGCATGCCCACGGTTGTCTTTGAGATCCATGAAAAAGAGTTCCCATTGCCACCCACTGCCTACACCAGACAGGTATGTCTCAAGGAGGCGGGCCTGGGCTCCTCCTGTCCCTCTTCTCCCCCTCCCTCCCCAGCTGTGGCCCAAGTTGGTGAAGTGGGTGATAAGAGGTGGCATGGACTCCATAGCAAATAGAGGGGCATTCCTTTAGACTGACTGGCCCTTCTGAGTGGCGCCATGTTGTCCTTGGGCCTCATTTGTGGCCACTACAGCCTCATCCTGGGAGAAATGGGGACCAGGAAGGACAGCCCACCGTGGCTTGTAGGAGGTAGATCCGCAGCTCCCTGTGGGAATCTCCATCTACTGCTCAGTCTTCTAAGCCCAGGGGCCTAGAGCACTGTCCAGGGTTTTCCTAGCCAGCCTGGGCTTTGTGGGGACTCAACTCTTGTCCCCACTGACCCACTGACTTCAGCTTTGACCTAATTCTGAGCTCCCTAAACTGGCCAGGCAGCCTGCCTCAGTCCCCGGGCCTGCTCTGGCTGGTCATCAGGGCAGTAGGTGCTGATAGCAGAGGGCAGGGGCTGGGGAGGACAGTGATGGGGAGGGGTCCAGGACTGGATCTCCTGGGCCCCACTTGGTGATCCTGGATGAAGTCATTTTATTTTTTGAACCTCAGTTTCTCCATCTGTTGAATGAGATGAATTTGATAATTGTTTGCTTACCTGGGAAAGTGATTTCAAGGATAAAATGAAACAGTAGGGGAGGGTAATTGCAGGGTGGGGTGTAAAACACCCGTATTTAGGCGCAGTGAATGGAGTTGGGACCCGCCTCACCTCAGCCTTGCCTTTCCCAGGACCAAGGCTCCTGCTCCAGCAGTTTCCAGGGTGATGATCATTCCCAGCAGTGGATCCTGGGGGATGTCTTCATCCAGGAGTACTACAGCGTCTTTGACAGGGCCAACAACCGCGTGGGGCTGGCCAAAGCTGTCTGACCGCACCACTGACTATGCGCTGTGCTATACACACACACATGCACACGCACACACACACATGCACATGCACACACACACACTTGCACACATGCACACTCGCACACACATACACACGTGTGCACACACGCAAGCATGCGCACATGCACATACATGCGCACATGTGCACGCAGGCACACGTGCATGCGTGCACATGTACACACATAGATCAGGTTTTCAGGCAGGTGGCTCCCAATAAACACCACATTTCTGCAAAGCCTGCCTTCCCTTGTCATCACCGGGGCTGAAGCCCTGCACCATTATGGGTGTGGGCTGTGACTACCAGGCGGTGTGTGGGCAGAGTGGGGGCCGCATAGGTGGGGGAGGGCTGAGGATGCAGTTGGTGGGTGGAGGCTTCCTCGAGGGCAACGGCCATTTCAAGCTGAGGCCAGGGAAGACCAAAGCATGGCTTGCCTACCTGTCCTCCTACTCCAGGTCTTTCTGGCAGAAAGGCACACGACGGGAGGCCTTTGTAGGACAAGACTTGTTTGGACGTGGGGATGAGAGTCAAGGGCTCGGTGGTGCGAGCCTGAGCAGAACACCTAGCCGCTGGTGGGGAAGGTTCTGGTCTATTAGGACAAGGTCCTGGTCTGTTAGGTCCCTGTCCACAGCCGTTGGAAGAAGACGGGTGGTGGAATAGGCAGCGGATATCTGGGAAAGACCGAGGGTCTTGAAATTGCCATTCACCCTGGGGAAGAGCCACAGCCCAGAGTCCCATCCTCAGTCTCAGGGGCTCGGGCCCTGACTGCCGGCCTCAGAGTGGCTCCGTCACGGAGGGCAGGCTCCTGTCAAAGCCAGAGGCCAGCGCTCACATTCCCATGGCCGCCTAGGCCCACGGAGCCCTGCACAGTCTCTGAGGAGAGGCCACACAGGAAACCCAAATGTTAGAGGGCCACACAAGGGGATTCTGGTAGATTTACGTGGTTTTTCTCAGCGAGGCTAGTTGGAAGCCCCTCAGCTATGGTGGGGGCAGTGGACAAGACTCTTGGGGAGACCACAGTGCTGGGTATCAGCTGGGCAGACCCCTGGGCAGTGCTGTGCTGGGAGCTGCACGCGTTTGCCACCACGGCCCTGCTTCCTTTTCAGTTGTCCCCCCTTCTTCCGCCAGTCTTCTCCCTGTCAGGGGAGAGCACAGCTGACCAGGCTTCTGCTTTCTAAGCCGTGGCTGGCCTGCCCCTCTACCCACCACCCCAATATAGAGACTGGACTTTGTCACCGCTTTATAGTGGCTTTACCCTCAGAAGGCCTTGGAGGGGGTGGGACCATCTTGCCATGGCGCCCCTGTCCCTCCCTTATCCCACCCACAGCCCTGCCCCGCAAACAGCAGAGGAGCAGCCGAGCAGTGCGGCGTGTGGCATGTCTCAAGGCACCAGGAGCTGCAGGTCTGGGGTGATGCTCCCAAGGGACACTGTCCGTATGAAGACGAGTGGGCGTGGGGCGGGGAGCGGAGCAGGGGCTGGCTTCTTTCTCCCAGGGGGAGCTGCTCATTGGGTCCGGCTGACAAGCCAGCTGGGGGCACCTCCTGGGTCTTTCTCAGCTGGACCTGAGGTCAAACAAGATGAGGGACTGAGCCAGGGCAGTGGAGCTGCTGCCTGCGGTGCCTTTCTGGGTCTGTGGCTGCTCAGGGAAGGGACAGGGCGGGGTCGTGGTCGGAGGCAGTGGAGGAAGAAGACTCAGGCTGCAGTCCTGCGTCAGCCGAGGAGCCTGGGGAGGGTTGGGACAGAGTCCACAGAGCATCCCAGGATGTCAAAGTCAGGGTGGTGCTGGGAAGGAGCAGGCCTTGGTGGTTGAGCCTTGCTGGGTCAGGGCATGAGCCTGGTGCCCAGGAGCGAGCTCTGGCTTTGGGAGACTCCCCGAGCCTCGCTGTTCTTCTCTAGGACCAACACTGCCTGTTTGCCAAGAATGAGACAGAATCGGGCCACTTCCATTATTTTTAGGCTTCTTGTAGATTAAAAAAAAATGCTGAACAGGCTTACAAAAATTGCGTTATGTATTTTCATGGTTTACATTTAACAATTGTGTCTTAAACACCCAAGTTTCAGTGGGAGATAACGCAGAACGTCTAAATATGATGACTTTCATAAATGTGGGCTGTGGACCAAACGGCTCTCCCTCATCCCTGGCCCTCCTGGGCCTGGTGGCGACGCCTGTCCTGGGAGGGTAGTGAGGACACAGTGAGGCTGGCGTGTGGGGCCTCTCCCTCCTAGGGGTAAGGAGGTGTGGGCAGCACAGCCCCTTGTTGTGGCCTCAACTCTGCTCCTGGCTGCAGAGAATGCTCTGCCTAGAATGTTCTCTACACTCCAACCCCTCCGACCTTAATCATCCTTCAAGCCTCTGCTCAGTCAGATCTCTTCAGCTTGCTCCTGACCATGCTTGGGCCATTTCTGTCTCCGTCTGTCTCCCTCACAGACTGTGGGCTCCCCGAGGACGGGCGTTGGGCACCTCTCATTTTAATCTTGGGTGCCTAGCTCTCGAAGTGCCTCATCGAGCGTTTAGAATGAATGGATGAGTGAATGAATCATTCGATCAGTGAGGTCCTCAAGAGCCACACTGCTTTTTTGGTCTCCTCTTTCCTCTGGGATCTTGACGCCACCCTCTGTTCCCTGTACATACTTCAGCCCACTCCCCAAGTCTTCTCCCTCCCCTCA